GTGTCTTCTTTGAGAAAGTGCACTTAGATTTATTTACCTTTTCTTTATAAAGAAAGAGAATGTGTCAATGACAAGATAGTATGGAGAATCGTTATACCATGTGTAAAGATTCAAACAGAATATAGAGAGTCTTAAATTATGGTCGCTTATTTTCTTTGTTTTAACTCTTCTCATCAGAATGTTAAAGGGAAACACTACAATATTGCTGGCTGATTTTTTTTTAAATAATAGGGGAAAACACATTTCTTTGGAAAAATTCTCTAAACTTGAATCATATGTAATTTCTCATCCTCAATATTAATTTCAATTGTATAACGGGCTTAACTTTGAAAGACAATTTTATAGTCAAGAAAATGGAATTTTTTTTACAACTTGCAAATTCTCTGTTTAAAATGTTCTATATTAACTCAAAGCAATAAGGATTTATCATTTTTAATTCTTTGGGAAATAATGCTCCAAATCATGATGCTTTGGTAGTTGATGTTAGGAGGCTTATTCAAACCAGTATTTCTTACATATAATCATTGTGCGACTTCATTACACATTTGTCAACTTTGGACTAATTATTTTTATACAGCTAGGGCAGGGCACTGCATCTTGTGATCGTCTTTCTTACTAATAGGATTCTGTCTGCTTCAGCAGGCAGTAATTGAAGGCTTCATGTACAGAGTAGGGGAAAAAAAAAAGTTTTAGCCTGAGTGGGCCATTGTCACAGCTTCTGGTAACCAGTAGAACAGAAAACATGAGAAAATTGAACTCAGAATAGAAAAATCAGAAACCAGGAAGACTATCCAAGAGAAGAAAAAACATGTCTTAGAGCTGTTGCATTAAGTGTAGCAAATATGATTCTACTTAAAAATGTTTGTGTTTGTGAATACCCTGGAGACTGATACAACCTCTCAGATAAATATTTTTTAGTTCCTGTTGTCTTGTTAACATTTCAGTTGTTAAAACCATTGGGTTGTAAGATTTCTTTTCCTTCTGACAAAGAACACTTATGGTCCATAGCCAGCTCCTCATAAATCTGAAAAAAAAAAATATGGTTTAAGTGCATGAGGGAATAAGGCCACATATTGTAGACATTAAATTTGTACAGATTTGTTGTTGTTATCTGAGCTGTTTTCCTAATTCTGTCAATAGTTAAATCAACTTTTTTAGAAGAGTAGTGTCTTCATTTAGGTTTGGCTAGCAGCTTATTTTGTCTTTTTCTTTAATTTTAAGAATTTTTATAGGCTTCAAAGATTAAATGTCATTTGCTAGAGATCATAGACAAAAAGACATGTAATGAAATGAAATACAGATGTATCTAAACAGTTTTACCTCCTCAGTTGGTGATTACAAACAGCGAGTGCTTGGTGGTAGAATGAAAATGAAAAATTATGAAAAATACCTAGATGGTATCCTTTTAATAACATGGAGCCCGTCATACATAGGCAATACATCTTTAACTGTCATCCTCTTATTTGTTCTCATTTGTGGTGTTACTGGTGTTCGAGGTTGGTTGGCCTCCCAGAAGTCCCTCCCTGTGTTACAGCTCCATTCAACAAGGTTTTATATTTCTCATTGCTGGTGTTCTTTTGAGGGAGTGGGAGGTGGGGGATGTTTAAATTTTTTTTAATCTTTAAAAGGCAGAAAGTAAAAAGTTGTTATGACAAAGCAGCAAGTCAGGATGCTTTGGATTACATAATAGTGCAAATTCAGCTACACATTTTGAAAGGAAAATCTTCCCTCCTAAAGTTTTTGGAACAATATTAGATTATGTATTAGGTAAATAAGAAAAAACATTAGTCTTTCCGTTTACTAATAAAAAAAAACAAAAGTACATTTTGCATATTTGAGAATGCGTATGATCCAGAATCAGAATAGTTGGGTTCAAATTCCTGCTCAACCATTCACTGGTTGTGTGCCCCTGGGTACGTATCTCAACTTCTGCGGGCCTCACTTCCCTCATCTGTACAGTAATCTGCCTCATAGAATCAAATAAGTACCCACTACACAAAACACTTAATAAATGGTAGCTGCAGTTATCACTGCGGTGATCAAAAACCTCACATGTCTTCTGAAAAAGTTTTGTCACCGTGTTAATCTTCGTTTGAGGTCAGGCACAGAAGTTCTGATGTCAGCCATTAAATTTAACATAGAAGTGTTTGACCCAAGCTGTCTTTATAACCAATGTTTCTTACATCCAAAAGCTATGTGGTATTTATTAACTGGTACTCTTTCCATAACTGTCTTTTCAGTGTATGTTAAAGCATAGCCTGTTCAGGCATTAAATGATTAATAAATTTGGGGTGGGGGTGGCTTTGCTTTTCATGGACCAAAACAAACCAGTTGTAATCATGCTGTGTTCCAATTAAATACATCCTTTTTGAACTGTGAAATGAGAATGTCAGAACATCTGATCTTCTAGTCTCTTGCTTTAAAACATTGCTTCCACCATTTGTGCCCACTAGAACACGGAGACCTAGCTAACAGGCAGTAGCTTTTATACCAGCTAACAGATTTTATTGCTAGGATGATTTGCTTAGCGTATTTCCACTGTAGGGTAAGCAAATGCCTCCTTTCTTTACTGCCCCTAATCTTTACACTATTGAGAATTTTTATGGTAATAGGATTTCAAAAACGTGTACAAGACACTAATTTTAATCTCTGTAAACATACTGGCATCAAAATTGACATTTGTCTCTGCTGAGTTTGTATTAGTGGAGCATCGATTCTAAGTTTTTAATGCAAAAGAGATAAAATGTGCCTTGGGGCTGTGCAACCCTGAAATTCAAGTGCTTTTGTGTTCCTGTTGAGACATAATCTCCTTCTCTACAGTCCCAAGGCACAAGTGTTAAGTAAATAAAGGGACTAATAAGACTATTGTTTACATAATTATAACCCTGTCAGAAATAGAGACCTCTGTTGAAAGATGTGTTGAATGAAGATTTGGTGATGACCAAATCTGTGGGGAGAAAAGTTACATAAATGAGTAGGACAGTAGAGCTGCCTAGTCCGACATACAGACATGGTTTAACAGAAATACAGAAACAGGATTCTCCTGTGAAGCAGAAGAATCCCAAAAGTTTGGACAAAAGAAATGCATAAACTTGGAAGGGGTGATAGAAAAGGGGGTCGGTCATGTTAGGGCCCGTGATGTTTGTGCTCTCTAAAAGATGAGATTAGGAAACAGTTCCTTAGGTCCTGTGTGGACATCTGAAGAGCACACGGTTACTTACAGTTGCTTCTCGCAGTAGGAAAACTGCTCTGTCGGATTCCTTACAAGTCTTCCATGTGTTGGGAGAGAGTAGCTTTCCATGTTTGTAGAAAATACACAAATAAATGACAGCAAAGGTTTCTAACATACTTTATCAACAACCCACTAGCTTATACCTTAAAATGCAACTTAAAAATGTGGATAATATTTTCATATTAGCCTGTTTGTTTTGCTTTTGAGTCATTATTCTAATTACTGTTGGAAAACTGATTTTCATTATTCCGTTCAGGTCAAAAATGGCTTGCTAGGTTTCCAAAAAGAAGAATCGAATGTGTTATGAGATCTTGATGTCATTTTTGAAAACTCAAAGAAGAAATTACTTTTCATTTAAAGAGAATCTGCTTCCTGCTTAAGTGGCTAATATTTTAATTAAGTTGGGAGTGAAGTTTTTCTGAGTGTCTCCTGATAAACTCCCTCTTTTATGTTGATGGTAATTAAACAGATCCCTGAGGACACCGTGGGCTCTGCGCAAGGCCCATGCTAATTGTCAGACATGAGACACTGACCAGTTGGTTTGCTCTTGAATAGTCCGCAGCGTGCTGTCAGCGCGGCAGTTTTATTTTTATGTATTGTGAGCTGTTGTCAGGGCTAACTGGGTGCCATTGTGGCTGAAGATGTTGCGCAAATTGAGGCAGATGGCTCAGATTCAGACACGTGTCATACAGAAAGGGGAAAGGGGATTGGCCCTGCAAAGTGGGGTCACAGCAGGTCACAGACCTGCTCTACACTTGTTAGTGTTTTCAAAAGCTCATGTGCAGCAACTTTGTTTTTCTCCAGTCATCCCTGCAATCAAACCCCCTCCCACCCCCCTAAAAAAAATGTGTGGAACATGCTCCATGTGGAAAATGGAGGCCTAGGAGGGTTCCGTCCTCTTCCTTCACGTCTCTGGGGCTCAACTGTGCGTGCAGAATGAATTAGCAGGATTGACAGAAGTTCATTGTGCCTCCAACGGCTTTTCAGTCAATTGCAGTGCTTAAAAGGCTAGTTTTGCTTTTAATTCCGTGTAATTAGTAGATTCTTCATGTCTTGGAATTTAGTAATGGAGCCTTAGACCTCAAGTTTCCTCTATTCTAAAGCAAAAAGAAGTATGTAACATTCTGCACGTTAAAAAAAAATTTAAAAAGAGGAAGTGTGGGTGTTGCATTTGGCTGTCACGTGGTATTGTTATATGTCATCATCAACGTTAGAGACTGAATTTGAATATTTTAACATGCATGAATTTTTGAAACGTAAGTTTTATAATGTACATAAAATTATCTAACTTCTTGCATAATCATTTTCAGATATGAGGACTTAAAATTTCAAGCTCTTTGAGAAAAGTACCTTTTCTCAACATGTTTTAAAAATAAAAATGCAGTGGTTTATTTTATGTGACCCTAGGCATGGTGGAATATTAAATATCAAATGAATGATTCCCAAATATATGTTAATGGAGAATTATTCACATAAGTCTCTTGTTCAAACTAATAAGTAAAATAGACTTCCTCTTCTTGTTTTGTTCTAAAGACGCACTGAAATTACCTGCTTGTGGTAAGCATGGTGCTGGGCATTTATTGATTTTTCAGAAGAATGCTTGGCTTTGGGTTTTGGCAGTAGGGAACCTGCAAGAAATTATTGAGAAAAAAAAGAACTGTTTTAAACCTATTTGAATTTATGCCATCTCCGTTTTTCCTCCCTCATGATAAAAGCTCTCTCTCCCTCTTTTTTTTTTTTTTTTTTTTTTTTTTTTTTTTCCCTTCAGGTTTGCAGCTAAAACTGTGCACAGTGGGTCGTTGATGCTAGTTACAGTGGAACTGAAGGAAGGCTCCACAGCACAGCTTATCATCAACACCGAGAAAACGGTGATCGGTTCTGTTCTGCTGCGGGAGCTGAAGCCTGTCCTGTCCCAGGGGTAACCTGCTTACATCTGGACTTCAGAATCTGGCACACAACAAAAGTGCCTGGCATCCACTACTGCTGCCTTTCATTTATAATAATAGCCCTTCCATCTGGCAGTGGGGGAAGAATACACTCTTGACATTCTTGTCTCCTGCTTTAGAATGCTAGTGTGTATCTATCATGTATGCAGTACTTTCCCCCTTTTCGCTTTGCTAACCAAAGAACATATATTTTACTGTCAATTTTCTCAACTCTTGAATCTTTGTGGCATTTTCTCTGTCCTGCTACTTCTTCTGCCCTTCTCCTCTTCCTTCTCTTTTTCCACAGTGATGGACATGAATTGGGTGTTTTAAGTTCATTGGAAATCATCCTCCCTCCCACCGCAACCAAAAATTAGCCCTAGAAATAATCTAAATGGCCTCTGAGCTGGGTATGTGAAAATACTATTGCTATTGGAATAGCATACTTTTTAGAATTAAATACAGAAACAATAAGATCTCTGCAAAATTTTGTTCTGTGAATTTCTTGGTATTGTAATTGGTTATTGACAATGCTCGTCATGAAATCATCTATGAATAATAAACTAGCATATGAATAACATGTGTCTTTGCATTTTTAATGTGTGTGTAATCCTGAAGTTCATATGCTGATATTTGTTTTAAAAGTAAATAGCTTGTTATATTCACAAAGAAGCAATTAATGGGGTTTAGTTAGTGAAAGAAAAACCACTTTCAAATCCGGGTAGATTTTCTAGTTATGTTATAGAGTAGTTAACTCCAAGAAAAAATTGGATATTTAATAATAAAAATCCATCATGTTGTACAATAAGATGTCTCTGTGCAATTTTGATTAGTAGAGATCAGATTGTAAGGCCTATTACACCTGCTGAATAAATTCTTTGAATCTCATTGTTCCTTTATAGATCTTGATGCCCAACTTAGGTGGACTGAAACACCTTTGGAAACTAATCACTATAAATCTAGTTCTGGAAATTTTAAAAACCTGTTACGTGATCAACATATCAGCGCTTTTCCCGGGAGTGTTTGTTGGCTAACTTCAACAAGTTAAGATTATTTTCATTAAGATTATTCTCTGACCAGGGGTGCCTTGGTGGCTCAGTTGGTTGCACATCTAGCTTCGGCTCAGGTCGTGGTCTCGCATTTCATGGGTTTGAGCCCCACATCAGGCTCTCTTGCTGTCGGTGTGGAGCCCACTTCAGGTATCTGTCCCACTCACGGCCCCTCCCCCACTCATGCTGGCTCTCTCTTTCAAAAATAAGTAAAACATTAAAAAAAAAAAAGTTATTCTCTAACCAGAAAAATTTTTTCTGAGATTTTTATACCTCTTTAAAACCGGTTGAAATTTTATTTATCTTTCTGATACAAGGTAATACTCTTTCAGTTAGTATATGCTAGTCGTTTCCCTTTCCGTAGAGCCAAAATTCCTTAAAAAATAAGGATTTTTTAAAAGTAGAGAATATGCACTGATGGAAACATTGTAGAACATATATAAAGAGAAAAAAAAACCATAATGAAACATCCCTGGAATATACATGTTGAGAAGAACAAAATAGATGTGAAAAATCATTTCAGTTCAAACTTGTAAGCTGGAGAGAGCAAACAAGATGGTTAAATTGTCCTGCTCTTGAAATACAGCAGTTAATCTGGATGAGAAGTATTGCTACAGAAGTCACGTGTTCTACCTCATTCTGGAACCTTACATGCGATGGCAATGCTGCCACCAGACACACCTTTATAATTGCAAGCTGTTGGCACTTCCTTTATTAATCCTGTTTCTCAGGGCTTACTTAATAACTTTGGGTTTTTAAGTCAACAATTAAAAAAAAATTTTTTTTTAATGTTTCTTTATTTTTGAGAGAAAGGGAGAGAGAATCCGAAGTAGGTTCCAGTCTCGGACCTGTCAGCACCGAGCCTGACGTGGGGCTCGAACTCACAAACCATGAGACCATGACCTGAGCCGAAGCCGGTGGCTTAACCAGTTGAGCCGTCCAGGTACCCCTTAAGTCAACAAGTTTTTGAAATGTTAGAAAGAATTTGAAGGGATAAATACCTATTTTCTGAAAAACATATTTACACTTAATGCATCAAAGCAGAGGGAAAATGTATGTTGTGATGTAGACAGCTTTTTGTTTTCCTTAAATTAGGGCACTTCTTATCTTTGAAAATAGGTCATTTATAGGTACATATTTTTAAATTAAGGAAATTTCAGTAGAAGTTTATTTTTGAATAAGATATATTTTTGATAGCTAACTTAGATTTAAAATGTATACTAAATAATGTAATGTGGTATGCTAACAGTTGAAGCCATTTTAACATCAAGAGCTTAATATCATTAAAATATTTTTCATATAAATGAAATTAGAAAAATAACGAAATTCCCAAGTTAAAGATTTGGCGGAGGGCACGGGAGGGGGGGGTGTTCCTCCTTTTTTGGTACAATGTTTCATAGTTCCTTACCTCATATTTCCTTTAACTTTATCATAATCCATGATTATCTTTAAATTGTTCCATTGAGTCGAGTTAGTCAATGTTGAATTCTTAATTCTAGCTATATTTTTTCATTTTAATGTCCACTTAATGGGACATTTTATGTACACCAATCTTGAAGAATGGCTCTCACAGTGTATTTCAGACTGAGCCTCATTTTTGGTATCACATTGCCTCATTTTTGGTATCCCAATACATTTGCCTTATTTATTATAAGAAAAGGAGAATGTTTTTATTCTGAAGAGACTATAACAATGAACTTAATCAAATTAAAGTACTTCATACTTGCCCTTCCCAGTTACCATTTGCAAATATTTAAATAACTTCCTAATAGCTTATGAAAAGTTTGCCCTTGTAACCTGTTTCATGTTAAGAAGTTATATATTAGAGAAGACAAGAATCCAGAATGATGAATGACATAAAGGAAGGTTTTGAAAAGCAAAGTTTAGCTAGCTAGAGGAAAAAAGCTAAGCTCTTTGACTTTCTTTGTTTCCTCTCTCTAACTTCTCTTACCTTATACGGGACTGTGTTTAAAGGGGGAAAATCCTCTTTTCACATAATAAGGAGGTAAAAAGCCCTATGTTATAATGCAAAATTAACAGATTCTTACTATTTCCTTTCTATTTCAAGACTGTCTATCGTGGTGGAACATGAAGAGCTGCAGTTAACCACTGTTGGGTATAGTAAAATACAAGATGCGTTCTATACCCCTCAAGAAACCACAGTCCAGTTGGCAATAAATGAAGAAATGGCAGTATGGACTCCACTAAGTCAGTGAGCCCTGGTTTGCAAACTAACTTCGCTTACATACTAATGTAGGCTCACCTTCCCCACCCCCACACACTTTGGGTGGCAAGTCAAATAGCTTTAAGTGAACTATCACCCCCCCCCCAAGTTGCTGAACCCATCTCTTCACCTCCACCTCCCCTCTCCTCACACAGGTGGTTTAACCAGACCAGCCATTGATGGCTCTTCCATCAGTTGGAGGTCAGTTCATTGAAAGGCAATTACTTTCTGACCATGCGCTTGTTTTTTTTTCTTTCAGAGAGCATGAAAGGGGCAGAAAGGCCAAGGGAAAGAGAGCATCTCCATGCTGAGCATGGAGCCCAACTCAGGGTTCGATCCCATAACCCTGGGATCATGATCTGAGCCAAAATCAAAGAGTTGGACACTCAACTGACTGAGCCACCTCAGTGGCGTCCCTGCCTTTTTTTTTTTTTTAATCATCCTTTTCCTTCCCTTCTGCCTTCCAACTTGACCAGTTACCTCAAGAAAAGTTTTCATGATCACTGTCACTCTTTACTTGAGATTTTACAGGAATCAGAAAAAAAAAAGTTTATGATAGTGTTATATTTCTAGATGAATGGAAATTGTGTTTAATAGAAAAACATGCCCTTAAATGGATCATGAAATTTCTTTCCTGAATCTTCAGTCTCCATCTCCTTCCTGACAAATAGCTTTCAGTATGACTAAATGAATGTTTTACTCTCTTTCTTTCTTAGTAACGTCACTTTTTTCCTACCAGTTTTCAACTGTTTTACAGAGCAAGCACTATTTTAAGACCTGACCTGGTAAGTTAACCACCATGTGAAATTAGTGTTTGAATGAAAATGTTTTGGATTTCACATGATCACTTGACCAACACACTTGGAACACAGCTGTTTGAAAGCTGAAATCGTTTCTGGGAAGAGTTGTGAAGCAGTTGCATGATTAATTGTCAGATCACACCAGTAAATGCTGTTGGATTTGGGGAAAGAAGTGATCAATGGGTTAGAGAGGACTGTGAAAGTTCAACTGTGGCAATGAAGCTAGCTAGGTCTTAAAAGTTGGATGGCATTTAGAAGAGAAAAGAGTTTCTAGGAGTGGGAGAAGGAAGAATATATTGTTCTCAACTGAGGCCGTCTCTTAAAATGTACCTTTGTACAGGGAGCGGCATTACCCCTGCACCACTCTCTGAGGATTTCTCCTTTTTCCCCTCCCAGGGTCTCCCTGACATCAGCCCCCAGGTCTCCAGCTCAGTGTGCTGTGGCAGTTTAGAGGAGGAACCAATGGTTGCGATACTACGGGTGGGGCTGTGCTGCACTTAGAAACAGTGGAGAGGCAGGAAAAGAAGGTTGGGAACCAATGAACTAGAAATCAGGAGAAATCAACGTTGTTGGTTCTATTCTCCCACTTGTAAGCCAATTTTAGATATTTCCTTGGGGATTTTAGGTATTTCCTATGCTTTTCAGTTATTTCCAGGTTCTCAAAGGAGTCGTTTTTGATTTACAGAGTACCTAATGAACATGAAATTCCATTGGTATCCACTTACTGGTAGTGATTGTACGTTTAAGTGATGTCTAATCTTCCCTCATGTCTGTCTTTTTCTGGAGCCAGTTTGATGCACAGTCACTTGTACGTGTAATTCCTGGCTGCTTCCATAAATGTATACACTGAAGACCCTAACCCCTCAGAACTCAAATATGGAATTACTACAACAGACTCAAACTTGTCTTTAATGACATTCTAAG